TTTTTTTAGGTTTAGGTGTAGGTAATGAGAACCATATTGGTGTCCTAGTAATAATTTTATGCCACAATAGTCCCTAAATGTTAGATGAAAAAATGTAGTGTGAAATATGATAGGGTAATGGCCTGGTGTTGTTGGCACAATCACAATGTATGCCTGTGAAAAAATGTTGCATTTGAAAAACCTGAGGATAAAAGATAAAAAACCACTTGTTTTTGTATAAATGTGAGCCTAAGAAATATAAGTGTATGTTATAGACTTGTGGAACATAAAATTAGAGATGTATGTGTGAAATTGTTTTGCTGCCCACGTTGTTCACACTTGTTAACAATGTTGTACATATTGTTGAAACTGAATCGGGTGTAACAATATTGTTCAATATTGTTGACAACTGTGAACAATGTGGGCAACAAAACATTGTTCAATCCTGTTTTCATCAATATTGCAACAACCTGAGCGTTTTTACGCGTGTAAGAGTCTTTGTTCTTCTACCTTCGTTCAGAACAAAGTTCATGACGAATTTTGCCAAAATATTCGTTCTTAACGAAGGCAGAAGAACGAAGACGGAATATAGTTTGATATCTCGCTGTTTTGTCGGAGTCAGGGTAAGGATTAGGATCAGCATTAATATAAACAGCGAGCCTCATAATCTATAACCTGTGATGGTTGAACAACCACCGCTGACCTCAATATGCGCGAGATGATGCGCAGAGGGGCAAAAATTGTCAAGTGCGTCTTCGTCTTCGTAATTCGTTCTCTTGTTCAAATTCTCTATTTCCATTTTGTTACAGACGCACAATAATGTAACGATGTTTAAGAAATACCTTCCGTCTCCAAGCATAAAGTAAGATATTTTTATCATTCTTATTATTAAAACTATATTTACCAACGCTAGCCCCTTCGGCTGGATGGTATGGTATGGTAAACTTTATTTTAAGACGCTAGCCTCGTCAACAGTTTGTTGGTTTCCACGAGGGCGTCAAACCGTGGGGAATACATCGAACCGTCACACGTGGGGAATATATGCACTCTTGCACAAAATTATTCAACATGTTGAATATACGGTGAACATGGCACGCGTGAACAAAAGCTCTTGAAAACGTCGCGGCACACTGGGGGAACTTGCTTACGCCAATGGTCACGAGTGAATTTTTGCTCAGCAGATAGCTCTCGTGTGTGCCAGACTTAAAACGACTCTTGCTGCTTTATTCTGGAGTGCTTGTGGTCTGTTTGCAAGCGTGGCACCGATTGGCTCCCATACAAGGCAGCAGTAGTCAAGATATGGTACCGTTGAACCAAAGCGTAATACTTCAGAGAATTCATAATTACTTGTTATTTATTATCTTTTAATTCTGATTTTCAGGGAAGTCCTTTTAATTGGTGGGGAAAGTGTGAGAGACCAAATTGGAAAATTACGAGAGGGGGTAAGTGTGCGTACAAACAGACAAAGAAATGTTATTTGTAACAACTATTAATTTCTTCCTTTGAATAGTTTTTCATTTAATCCTATGTTTAGGTTGATGTAGTTACTGGAACGCCGGGAAAATTTGATGATTTTGTTTCCACGGAGAAAATGAGTCTTGACCAGGTGTGTTGGGAGTCTTGATTTTTGATGGTGTTTGGTCAGCCGTTAAACTATATGCTTATTTTCTATTGTTTTTGATTGTTTGTTTCTAGGTCAGATTCTTCATTTTGGATGAAGCTGTAAGTAAAGATACATAAGCGATCTAGTAATCTAGGGAGAAGTACCACGTAGGTGCGGGGGAATCGGAAATCTCGCTGTCTGCGAAGTTAGGCCTGGTTTTCATTGGTCGGCGACACTCACTGATGCCGATTCTCTGATAGCCTGATAGCCTGAATGTCAGGCCGTATTTTTCCTTTCTTAAATGCGGGTGGATTGAAGGGAAAAGAGGGCCTGACACAAATCTCTATCTGGCCGCATGTAAAAGAGCCAAAATGATTGGTCTATCAGACAAAAATAATTAACCTGTCTTTTCATTGGTTAGTGCTAATTAGATTATACTATTGTTCATCGTATATTTAGCATGCAGTTTGAACTACAGTTATATTGTTGAAGGGTTTGAATCCCGGTTGAAACATTTATGTTTTATTTGTTCTTCCAGATTAACAAAAAGGTAAAATACTTTAATTTGTCTAACGTTTCGGTTTCCTAAACGGAAACCATTATCAAAGACTATGAATCTATTAAAAGTTTTCCGTTACTATCTTGCGTCAGATGCAACCTTGCGAGATTACTGACGCGTGCGTTCAAATCGGTCTGCGCGTGCACGTTCACTAGCTATTAGACTATAGTACGCGCCTGGCATATCGCGGCAAATGTTAATGCTGTTGTTTTCGCTCTTGGTATGCCAGCTCTCGAGAAACATTCTTTCGTTAAAGTTAGTAGCAAATTCTAAGCAAGTAGCTCCTTCCCAATTCGACAAGCTATGTCGGAGAAACTGGGAGAACTCTGGAATGCAGAATTAAAGAACACAAGCGCAGCGTAGCAAATAAAGATACAAGCAACAAAATAGCGGTTCTTCATTTGTCAACAAAACATCGAATGAATTGGGAAGGAGCTACTTGCTTAGAATTTGCTACTAATTTTAACGAAAGAATGTTTCTCGAGAGCTGGCATACCAAGAGCGAAAACAACAGCATTAACATTTGCCGCGATATGCCAGGCGCGTACTATAGTCTAATAGTTATATTGTTGTTGTTGACACTTCCTCTGACTCCTCTGGGACAGTTTGATTGGATACTAAATATAAACTTCACTTTGGGTGGTGAGCGACCGGAATTAGGTTTGTGTCAAGCTCTATCGGTAAAATAGACTCTATTTGTAAAATGGAGCCTGCTACTCAAGCCAATTCTGTGACCGTCGGTGAGCGTCGCAGGCGGGTCAAGAAAAGTGAAAACTTGTCGCTTTGGAGGCCCTTTTTGAGCTGGGCGTCTGGGGATTTTGCCTGCATCCCTACTTTCAGCAGTCCTGAAATTGTTAAAGATGTGTGATTGAAAACTGCATGCTTATCATAATTCGTTTCTGACTGTCGCAGACAGTGGTGATAAGTAAATTATGAAACCTCGTTTGAAATTCTCGCGGAATCATGAAAGCAACGAAGATCGTCGTCGAAAGACGATAATATAAAAGTCGCCTGCCTGCGATACTCATCGATGGTCGCGGAATAAAATTCGACGAGTGTCGCATGGCAATGAAAGGCAAAACATTTTGCTGGCACCATATGACAAGCAAACGTCGTATAAGGTATACAAATTACAAAACTGTAGCTATAGTACATCCAACATCTCTGACATGACTGTGTTTGTTTATTGCAATTGTGCTCCTTGTTCTTCATATTTCAAACTGGTTTGTTCATGAATACATTTTCATTAGAAAACCATGCTTACTTTATCTTACGTTTTAAGTTTGTACCAGCTCAATTGCGTGGCAATAATCATTGGAATTCCACTGGGGTACAGTGGACGACTTGCGCTTTACACTAAATAGTAATCTAAGTAAGAACAACGAAATCTATCAGCACAGCTGGAAAGAGCGTCTTGGAATTAGTAATATTACAAAGTTTGGTTGCGAAATGT